ACGGTGCGAAAAGTGCAAAAACGCATAATCGCACCGGCCCGCCTGGTGCGTTCCAGCCTGGGTTTGTTTTTCAGATTTAGATGAATGCGCTGAAGGCATCGTAGTTTGTGCTGGCAGCAAAAATAGCTCGATATGTTTGAACACCGATGGCAGCTACGAATGTCGTTGTGCTCCGGGCTATGCTGGAAGCCCGGATAGTCCGCACGGTTGTGTTGGTAGGTTATCAGTTCAGAGCAGTTTGATTTTCATGATTTTTTTGAATTCAAAAATTTTTGAATTCATCTTTTATTTGAGGCATTATAATCTATCATTTTAGATTTCTCCCAGACACTTTCTTCTTCGACTGATGTGTTGCCGTAATCTTGTTTCGTAGCAATCCTTAGAAGAGAGACATTGAGTGCTTTGCCAATGAATGGTTAAACTTGTCATCACTTGAAGCCATTGGTTCTTTCTCAGAGAGGATAAACATTTTGCTTGACTGAATTCAGTAACAGTTATCCATACAATTAAATATAATCGAATAAATTTTAAAAAATTGTTCATTTCATTTACCAACCAGGACCGCTCAAGCCAATTAGTGTAGCTATTAGTCCATGTTAGGGATGTTACTAGGATGCTCCCACACGCTGGACACAGCCACGCTTGTCTCTTCTGTCATGGGCTGTTTACCTCCAGCTATTACGCACCACTTCTCCGATATGCCTGCTCCACCAGACAAGTGATGAGTTTTATATGAATGTTTTATATAAATACCAAAAATTTGCTGCTTTTTTTTTAAAATTCTAATCCTTTCTCTCTTTCTAGACATTTCATCTTTTCACTTAATAAAATGCTAATTTTGCTCAGATGTGGACGAATGCCAGTTGTCCGATTTCTATTGTGGCGAGAAAGGAGTTTGCAGGAATTTGGTGGGTAGCTACGAATGTGAGTGTGCAGAAGGCTTCCAGCGTGACCAATACACGGGACAGTGCGTGGACATTGACGAATGCAAGTAAACTTTATAAATAGCAATAGATGATCCAGCACTGACCAGAAGCGTAGGAATCTAGCATGTCTCATGAGCCTCGTTACCCTCGGCATTTGAAAGAAATTTGCATAATTGCCTCAGTTTTGCACATTGTACTCGATCGTCTTTGAACTTGCGGGTGTATATGTTTTGATAGAGTTTCCAATGAAATGGGAGGTAATTCCGCATGTTGAACTTGACATGTCGTGGGCTTAAAGGTTTTTAACCCTCAGTCGAGAATTTCCATGTTTTCTTGGCGTAAACGAGTGCTTAATTGCGAAATTTTTAGTTCTCCTCTCAAATAAAGCAAAGAAATTCAAAAATCAATTTCACAGCAGGAATCAGAACGATTACTTGCTAAATGTGGCTTAGAAGCAAACACATTTTCTGTGTAGAATTGCATAAAAAATTCGCGTTTGTTCCAGTCCAACTGTATCTTTATTTAATGTTGATCGACGGAACTGGCTTGTCCACTGCGTAGCTGGCAACTTTTTCAATTGCTTTGACCAGAGCTATATTACCTTTTGATCAGTCAACAAGCGAAATTGCCTTTCACAGGATCTCTGAGTGGGATAGCAGTCAAATAGTTCTCCCGAGAGAAGCACCTTAGTACGGCTTTAGCCGTTTCGAGATATTCTTTGACGTGCGTTGGTTTTGCCTCTTCTAAACCATGATGAGGTACCTTATTAGCAAGGAAGGTGCGATTTCTGATGGTCCAATTTGAGGTATGATCCATGCGACAAAGCAGCTGTTTGCACTAATATTCATGGCTCCTTCAAATGCGCATGCATGGATGGATTCGTGGGTAACGGTGTTGAATGCCATGGTATGCTTTAATCCTTTCCGATCACCCGAGATGTGATGATGATGATGATCATTATCATCATGATAGCGGTGGCAACTGTCAGTGAAAACGATAGTGATATTCAACGATAGTGATATTTAATGACAGTCACTAATATCGAAGCTTCTATCATCGTTGTAATTTTCACCGTTGCTGCTGTGTGCATTATTGCAAAGAATTTCATGGCCAACTGAAAAAACAGTTGTTTAAATTGTAGAGACAATTCTATTCTCGGCGGAGAATCCAAATGTCGAAGTGCCAGCTCGGCCGAATGCTGTCGTGGATTATGCGTTGCCCGTACCGCTCCGATTGTTCGGCAGGCTGTATCGTACACTCTATGTAAGTGTATATTCAGTATTGAATGCTAATGTGCGATTGAGCGATACCCACTGTAAGACGTAAAGAACCACTCGAGCAGCTGGTGAAGAGATGGTGAACATGCATCGAACAAGCGACAAATACCAATTGGAAGAGTGCAGTTCTGGATTGAAAGGCTTGGCATAGCATCCCAGTAACATCATTAGCATGAGATACACACACTGACAGCCTGGGCGGTCTTGATTTTCTTGTTACTAAATATTAATTCACCTGTTAGACTTAAGCAGAATTCTTCAAAAAATAAATGACAGCTGTATTTGAAAATATTAAGGATTGGAACCAATAGTATACATGAAAAAATAGTAGTTCCGCTGAGACTAAGACATTTTGGCCCATTAACTGTTGGATGTTTTACACTTACCTGATATAATGCTAATTGATACTCAAGATATTTTTTAATAACGATATAGATAGTACTTCCAATTTCAAAAATAATTTGTTCGATTTACAATTTGATAGACTTTACAAAGTCATTTTTTGGCAATCTCTAGATTTCATCAAATGGTGGAATAAGTTTCGGAGAGCCACTTCCGCTGAAACTCGATGGGAACGTCCGCTTCCCTGCATTTCTACCGCTGTTTGAACATTATGCCTTCAAGGACAACTCAAAAGTGGTCGTCAAAGTTGTTGATGGTTTGTAACTTCCTTTACCGATTTCCCAGTAACTTATTACAAGAACGTGAATGTCTTTTGAACGTTAAACAACAGAAGTGTGCAATTTTTGAATGAACCTAGATTCTTCAAAAAGACTGGTTTCCCTTTTCCGAAAAGCAATTATGGAAGCAACTTTCTGGTACCTTTTCCACTAGTTTCTAAATATCCTCATGATGGTAAAAGGAGCCAGCATAGCCGCTTCCAGCGAGTAGTTATTGTTGGCATTAGCTCTTAAGTTTTTGCCTTTCACTGAAAGCGAATATACATTTAATATTGAGTACTAAGCTGTTTGTCAGGCTTAAGCAGAATTTTAAGCTCTACTCAAAAAGTAGATATTAGATAATAGTGAGGTGTTTTAGTACTATTAAAGACTGAAACCTACAATTTACAATGAAGAAATAATAATTTAGCTGAGATTAAGACGTTTTGGTTCATTGAAGTACATGCTTCTAAATGAGCGTCACAACTGTATCTCGTTAGTTCAGTGGCCGCGGTATAAATTGTTATTAATATTAGTATCAATACTAGTGATGATATTATTATAAATAAAAGGAATTAGGGATTATTGAGGTGAGAGCAGGAATGAGACAGCAAGAGAGGGATGGGGCTACTGTAGAGTTCAAAAATTTGCAAGACGTGAACTCCTGTTCTGACGGCGCTTTACTTTTAATGAATCCACTTCTGAATTGCTTGAAATAACAGACTAGGAGATTAAGGATAAGCCTAAGTATCATGTGCGTGAAGATATGTTTAGAGCAATCTGTTTCGTTCCTTTTCATAGGGAAGAATTGATGGGATTCCTGAATCTTAGATCTCTTTTCTTAAAGATGCAGTCTTGAACATTCATCAGCATAACAATCTGTTGGGGTTTTGATGGCGATAATAGTAAAATATTTGCAGAGAAAGATGCAAAGGGATCGGTGTTACTGACGCGCCTGTCGCTCAGTGTGCACAACAAATTCCATCAGAACGATTTCCGCGCTCGCTCACTGATTATCGTCCTGTACGACAAAATGTTACAGATTGATAGTGACAGGGTAGGTATTCCCTGCGTCTCCATTAATTAGGGGCAGATTGATACAATATTCATTTCCACAAAAATTGAGCTGAAGTAAAATCAAAAACAAAGGAGGCCTTCTGGTCACTGCATCAGCACAGTTTGCTATGAAAAAGGCAAAACATATCTGTGAGTCAATCGTCCACTGCAGTAATGCTTAATTCTTTTGCGTTTTTTGCAGCAATGCAATGCGAAAAGCGCATATTGACGAGAGGTTGTCTGTGTGTGTATGTCTGTGTGTATGTGTGTGTCTGTGTGTGCGCTGCGCGCCTGTACCGATTTTTCATTTCGAAACCCACAAAAGTTACAGGGCTGAAATTTTGGGGAGTTAATCTATATGCGCGTACGGGCCCCCATCCCCAAAATGGGCGGTCTTTCCCGCGTGGTACCCACGTAAGAGCCCGCCAA